CCTTGGCTTCCTGATATGGAAATGACAGCCTGGTTATGTGGGGGTCGGGCTGGGTCCCCAACACCTGTTATCACGGGAGGAGCACCGGATTCCACAGCTGCAAACCATGGGATGATGGTGAGGGCGTCACTGCTCTGTGCCTCAGTGTCCTCACTTCTACAGTGAGAACCATGACACCAGGAGGGGCACTTAGAACGTGTGCTTGCAACTTGCTTTACTTTCCTCCCCACCTTCCTAACCCCCCACCCCCAGAATTGGCAATTCTCCAAATGTGAACCAAATGACATTCATGAATTTGCCTGGAAATAAAATTTGTTCAAACTAATTGAAACTGTTTCTGATCAAGTCAGTGTCTTAGAATGAATCGTATTGGTGTAAGAGAAAAGGAATCAATATAACGGTGCGGGAAATAGCGTTCTGGGGTCTGAGGCCACCTGTCCTGAGTCAGACGGGGGACTAGCTCAAACGCCGTAATCAGGATGAATGTAACCGTGTGTGTCCACCCCGGCCACCACACGCCCAGCGCTCCCAGCCCATCTGCTGACAGTCCCAGGGATGTCATCAGAGTTCTATGTCATAAAGAAAGGACGGATGATGAGCAGAACAGCCCCAGTTGGCGATCTGACGAGCTTGGAAGGCAGCCAGGTCCCCAAGGCCTCCGTCCTCGTGGCTGGCGGCCCTCCCACCCCTGCCGACAAACACATTTGCCATAACCATAACCGGCCAGGAGTCACGGCACTTGGTCAACAAAGAGATTTTGCCAGAATAATGTATTTTTCCCTTTAGAATCAATAGGACAGGACAGAATAACACTCATTTCCTTCAAAAAGCAGGGAATGCACACCTTTGGGCTTAGAAAGTTGACTTACAGGGAGGATGGTTGAAAAATGAGTTCTGCATGAAAAGACAGGTGAAGTCCTATCAGGAAATTGCCATTGCAAAGAAGAACTCTTTCATGCAGGAAGCCCTTCCACACGGTGGAGGATGGCCCGGGGAAGGGAGAGAATGCTAACCAGGAGCTCTGCCGTGGGCCGTGTGTTTGGGCCCCTGTGCAGCTTCCGGTCCTTCGTGGCAATTAACAAACATGGTGGTAGCTACAGACCCTGGGGCCGGAGGAAGACGGAATTCTTTCTAACCAGACGGCAATTAATGGCCAACCTCCCTCGTCACTCCCGCATGCAATCAGACCTACCCAAATCTAGACAGGAAAAGCCCTAACACATCTCCGGGTTTCATGGAGAAAAGGAGCAGAGCTGAGGACAGCTGACCCCGGCCTTCGCCGTGCCTGCAGCACCTGACGCACACCATGAATGTACTTCTCACGTCAGCAATGCCTCAAGGCAGGTACTCTTCACGGGCATCACCCCATTCTAAGTAGGAGGGAGAGGCTCCCCACCGCAACACAGCCTGCAAAGGTGAAGCAGGATGCGCCCCAGGGCCCAGGTGTGTGCTCCTGACCACTGTATGGGGGTCCTCTCCCTTCTTGTGTTGACACCCACCCAGACCAACTGACCCAGAACCTCGGGGGTGGCCTCCGGCAGCAGAAGCCCATGGAAGTCTCGCAGGTGATTCCAGCTGGGGTCACGCTTGGGAGCCACTGTTACTAACATGGGCGGTGGTCCCTACTTGCTGACTCACTAACCAGGGGATGGAGACCAGGCTGTCTTCATTCCTGGTCTCATGCTTGGGACCATGTTTACGGTCATTTGAGCCCCATTCCCTCACAACACGAACGGGGCATCAGCCTTTGGACTCGTGATGTTTGGAATGCTTTATATGGAATTATTACTGGAACAACTCAGTGTTGAGGAATGAATACAGAGTTAGGAAAGAAGGGAAACATTTGCAAAGGGTCCTTAAGCTGGGAGGAAGCAAGCAGCCCTGCCCTGCAAGGCCAGAGGAGGTGCTGGAAGACAAGGCAGGGGCTGGCGGGGGGCGGCCAGCTCGTCACACCCTCAGAAGCTGAGCAGTTGACATTTCCCTTATGAGTGATGTGCTGCCTCCTTAAAGAAAGGGGCAGGTGCCTGACAGCTCCAAAGGTATGTAAAGATAAAACAGAGCTGTCAGAAACCATTATCCTTCTGTCAAGTTATTTGGAATGTCACTGACAACCATTCTCTCTTCTGCACACATGACAGTCACCCGTGTTTTGGAGAAACAATCTGGAGTTTTATGACAATTTCCACAAGTCCTCCGCCCCCTTTTCATGTTTACCTTCTCAGTGTGATTTCACTATTCAAATTCCTCACATTTTCGCTCTGGGGGGGGTTGTCTATACTTTTGGGTGTCGCTGGTGAGCGGGGAGCGTCACCCCCACGGTCACCGTGCCTTCCTTGTCTCTCTCGAACACTTTGCGGGATGACTAATCAGCTTGCAAACCGGGGCCCACGTGAAGGTGGAGAGGATCTGAAGAACTCGGGCTCGTGGAATGCAGAGGTGGTGGAGCTCAAGCGGATTTCAGTAATCCTTTGAGCCAAGCCTCTTCTTTCACGAGTGAGGAAGGAAGGAGGCTCAGAGAGCCTCAGTGCCCTCTCCCTGTGGTGCACACCGACACCTGGCCTCCTTCCTGCACATACTTGGTTCTCCAATGACTCGAAGCACTGTTTTGTAAATCTTTTTACTTTCTTTCTAAATTTTTAAATTTGAATTCAATTAATTAACATATAATGTATTATCAGTTTCAGAGGTAGAGTTTAGTGACTCATCAGTTGCGTATAACACCCAGTGCGCATTACATCACATGCCCTCCTTAATGCCCATCCCCCAATTACCCCATCCCCCCACCCCCGCCCCTCCAGCGACCCTCAGTGTGTTTCCTATGATTAAGAGTCTCTCATGGTTTGTCTCCCTCTCTGATTTCATCTTGTTTTATTTTTTCCTCTCTTCCCCTATGGTCCTCTGTTTTGTTTCTTAAATTCCACATATCAGTAAGATTTTATGATACTTGTCTTTCTCTGACTGACTTATTTCGCTCAGCATAATACCCTCTAGTTCCATCCATGTCATTGCAAATGGCAAGATTTCATTTTTTGATGGCTGCCTAATATTCCATTGTGTATACATATACCACCTTTTTATTTTCTCTTAAGAAAATAAATGTCAACTGCATTTCTGGAAAAAATCTGTTCTTTCGTGGTGGACTGTTATGGAAAGTCGAAACAGTAAAGGATGTCAAATAATGTTTTGTTTGAAAGACAGCTTTTAAAGAAGCACAAGGACATGGGAAATCTTCCTATTCTTTTACACTTACATGGCTCATTCTCACATGTAAAAACAATTTTACATCATCAAGCACATGCTCCAGAGTATTTTACAAATAACTTTACATTATAAAAACTCTCAAACATGTTTTATTTTTGTTGAGAACTTAAAATATAGAGTATAGGGAGGAAAATAAAAGTTATCGGTAATCTTGAGACTGTTTTCATTTTGGCCCACTTCCTACTAGCATGACGAGTATCTCCTACCTGCCCATATACGCATGGACCTGTACTGATGGAGACCAACTCGTGCATTTAACAATACGATGATCACTTGGCAGACACAGCTTTCTGTCCTGTCTGACCCATGTAACACTGTGTCCAGGGCACTTTCTCAAGGACACTGGGTTGGATTACAAACAAATGTGGAGACGTGCATCCATGCAGGGTGAATCACTGAGCTGGAGGGCTTGGCACGAGCTGACAGGTCAAGGTTAATGCTGACAGAGTGCAGGCTGAGCAGGGGGTTAACAGCAGAGTCTAGCTCCTTCACTTGGCTTTGCACTCCAGAGCAGGTGCACAGCCGTGGATTCCCTTCCAGCGGTTCCAATGTCACTCCGACTTTTCCTCCCTCTCCTCCCAGGGCAGGGGATGGTGAGGTCGTATTTGAGGGGAAGAAGGGACAGTTGTGATTAAAGGGAAAAGGAACCATTTAAGGTCCCACCCTTGAACGATCTCCTTTGGAAGAACACTTGCTCTCCTTGGAATACCTAGGATGTGTAAGTCTATATTTATTTGGTTTATGTATTTCTTGGCCTAAATTGTTGGTTATCTTATTTGCCAGCCAATAGTAAGTGAGGTGTGTACAGAGAATGTTATATTCCTTGTATCACCCCCTGAATGCACTTGCTGAGGACACTGTCTTAAGACCTAAAAACTCATATGCTGCCTGGACATCTTTGAGCCTCACAGAGCCCCCCTGCCCTTGACAGATAGCTCCCCACCTTGCAGTTCCCGGATAAGCTGGAGCAGCTACACACCCCGTCTGGTCCTCACCAGGCTTCAGCTCCCTACCAGCTTACAGAATGATTCAAACAGGCCCAGCACGTCCTCCGCGGGCAGGAGGCCACCTTGCCTTCTTGTTACTACGAAGCGTGCCTCCTCCAGCCTGTCCTTGGTGGCTCTGCTCCTCCCCAGGCTGATAAGCGTATATGACCAATAAACTCTGCCGCACCTGCCTGGGGCCCGGTGTGTGTGCCGGGACATCTTACACTGTTTCGGGGATGGGCCCCTCCCTCACCAACGGGGTGAGCGGGCGGGGATCGGAGCGTAGCAGGTGCTCAGCTCTCCCGTGCTGTTGGATATGAGACTATAAGCCAGGAATGGGGATCTTCGATGCAGTTTTATTTTGACACGTTTTTTTGAAACTGAGCAATCCGGTCTCACTGAGGATTCAGGCTGAGTTGTGGTCCCCAGGCAGCCATACGACCTGCTTCTGCTTTCCTCCCCAATGTGCTTTTTTCCAAATGGTACGCCACAGCCAGACATATGTGGGAGAATGGTATTTACGCAATATGGCTTCCTCTCTGAAAATTGTGGAAATTTTGCAGGGATATGTTAAACGTCCAGGGAAATGTTTATACTGTTTATTGTCAGTCAGAGAGTAACGTGTCTGATATACTCTTTTAGAGACAGCTTCAGAAATCACGCGATACGAACTAGAATATGTATTTATGCAAACAGCCAGCGAACCACAGCTGCACATCCCAAACACAGCCAGCACCCTCGTGAAATGCTCACCTTTCAAGGTAGCTTTCTTAAGAACTTTCATTGCGTATAGCTGCCCAGCATCAGATCCCTTGGTCTTCCTCACCAGGAACACCTGATAAAGAGAGCACGCAACATCTGAGATTGGGAAGACTTGGAACTCATTGTCCTTATTTGATTCGACAAGGTGACATACAAGGGAGTTTAGGGGGAAAAAATCCAATAAAATAAATACGTAAAATTTCCTCCAACATCTAGGCTGCCGGGACAAATGTCATCTAACTGACTGCAACTCTGTGATGAACAGCATCACATGTGTGTGAAGAATCATTTGTTTTTGGCACCACTAACTTTCTCCTAAACGTTTTCTAGCAGAGGTATTACCACCCTTCTGGAAGAAAAGAAAAAGACCAGTTGTTTAGAAAAGCAAATAATATTCTGAAATTTTAAGGGAGATCATTTGGTTTATTCTAAATATCCCTTTGTAAGTCCTCGCTGGGAGGGCCACCATGATAGTTCCTGCCAATCACATGGAATAGACTCTGATTCTCAAGATAAACTGGGTTCTCTTATTTTGAGCTTTCCTCACCCAAATTTTAGCTTTGAGCAGAGTTAAATTTATATAGTTTCTTTTTCTTTTCTTTTTTTTTTAAATAGAGTTAGTTTCTAAATGGCTCTTAGAGACACTTGTGTGGATCTTTAATGACATTTTTGAAAAACATTTGAGGTATAATATCAAGGAAAACCAAAAAGAAAATTGTTTGAGAAGCTGAGTGAGCTTAGGGTCACAGTCACGACTATTGAACAGAATGAGTAAATAAACACACACACACACACACACACACCCCTGGGGCATTGACAGTAGACGCAAAGATCCACGGGTAGGACAGAGACCGCCACGCGGATGACACTTGCTATCCAGGGCAGGGGCCACCACTGGGGTGATGGGGACCCACCCCCTCCCCAAAATGCCTGCCTCATGGACCCTCAAAGCCAGAAAGACCTGCCACTGCACATGCCTCCAGGGCTACAGCATCATCCGTGGGGGACAGAGACCAGTGTGTGGGACCGGTGGGCAGGGCTGCAGCATCTCCCGTGGGGGACAGAGACCGACAGCTTCCCCCTTGGGGAGGAGAGTGAAGGGGAAGAAGATGGCTGAGGGCAGGTCTCCAGAGCAGAGGGTCTGCCGTCCCCACAGGACACGGCTCGGTCTGTTCTAGTGACCTGGAAGACTTCAAGTCCCAGCACAGGAACGTGGGGTCATGGGGTCGGTCCTTGGATCGCCGTGTGCCCTGGAGCCCAGGCAGGTGCAGAAAGAGCCTGGGACAGCTCTTTCCCGACTGCAGCCGGCTCTCAGGTCCCAGATCAGGGTCATTGCCGACGACCCCCTGCCTCCCCTGGCACACACAAAACTGAGGGCAAGAGGGCCAGGCCGGCCCCACTGGATGCTGCCTCCAGGAATGAGGGGCCCAGGCAATCACGAACAATTAGAAGTAGGATCACCCTTTTCTATTGGATTCGGACTATTCTGTCACTGAGCGTTAATAGTTATCTTTGGGGCACATTTGACATGTCTCTGTGTTGGCTGGATGAAGCAGGCTGTGGTGCAGACCCCCAGGGAGAGAGTCTGGGGTCTCTCCCTTAGCAGGCACGGCTGCACAGGACGAGACACAGGCCTGTGTGACCAGGGCTCTGCTGGGGGAACGTCCGTCTGGGGACGAGCCTCCCGATGGGCAGGTAGAGCTGCCCCCAGTTGTCAGAAGGGGCGGGTGTGCAGAGAAAAACTTTAGTGTCCGACATGTTGAGTCCTCTGACTCACAGGAAGTCATGGGCCCTGCGGTGTGTCTGTTCACGCTGTGGTCCCCTCAGGTCTCCAAGTCCTGTCCCCAGGCTGGTGCGGGCGCATGAGCAAAGGGGAGTAGCCAGGATGCAGGTGATGGGCAGCAAGCCAGTGAGCAGGTGGGAGAGGCTGGGGGCCCTCCTGAGGGGCCTGGGCCCGAGCCTCAGTGCCCAGCACCCTGGAAAGAAAGCTTTGCCCTGAAAGGCATGGGGGTAACGGGGAGGGGTGTCTGTGGCAGGGAAGGGGCTGCTGGCTAAACAGCCGTGACTCTAGCAGAGAGGGAGTGTGACCTCTGGGGTCAGAGCACTGCAGAGCTGGAGCAAAACAGCTGAGCCCCGGCCGTGGGGCCACAGGGGAGCCAGCCTGGGCCACTGAGTCACAGTGAAGATGCTGTGGCCCCTTGTTCAAGCCCTCTGTGCGCCTCAGCTGGGGGCAGTAAACCTACTGACTCTTTACAGTGAAGCCTACTGGTTAGCCCCAACATGAGGCATTCTTAGAATCAGAAGACTGGCAACAGCAATAAGACCCCTCTTCCAAAATGTGCAATATCGAAACCATCTTTTCTGCCTGCATTTTCATCCCTTTGTCCACATGTTCTCTTGCAATATGAGGAGGGGTGCATGACACACAGGGGAATGTGCATGAGGGCAGACATAGGAGCTCGAGGACTAGTAGAAACCCCGTCCCACTGAAGGTGACACCGGAAGCCTAGTTCATGGGGGCTGCCACCCACTAAGAGTAGTGTAAATGATGTTAGATTTTGCACGAAGCGTTGCACATCAAACCTTTTTCTCTACTGTATTTCAGGCTTTTAAAAATGAGATGACTGATAGTGATGGCAATTTATACGCATCTGTTATTAAAAGAGTGATTTTATTTTTTAAAAGAATGGGAAGAAATTCCATTTTTGCCATGATTGCGAAGCCCCCACTATGTGTGGGGCCTGGGGGCTACGACTTGAACCGCAGCGGGAGGGACCCCCTGGGCAAGCAGGACCCAACAGGAGGTAAACAGAGCCTTGAGGGCACGAACTACGATGAGCGAGGAGCTGGGCTCACGAGCCACAGGCGACCGCTCCTGACCACCGCCCCGCACCTCTTCCTCTGGTGCTGGACGCACATGGTTCAGGAACACATTTGGACACAGTGAAATACATTCTGGATAATTTCAGCAATTTCAGCACATACAGTGGCCGACCTTTCATCTCTAATACAGTTTTAACGGGCTCCCCATGATGTTCTCTACTGCTTCTTCAGCAGCTGAGCATGTGACATGCAAGGATATTATGTGGGGACACAGAGACAGATGCTGTGTCATACTAAATCACCCCAAATCTTCAGGTGTCATCGGAATCAGCGAAACCGCTGCCTGATTCTCGCAGTGAACTTTCCGGCTCTCAGAGCTGCAATGTCGCGATTGGTCTGCAGTGTTCTCCAACACAGGAGCCGACCGGGTGGCGGCCGTGCCCTTTCAGAGGACGTTAGGGGGACGATGTCCTCAAAAGGAAGATATTTAAAGACCCATTCTTATGTGCTACCAATTAAGTGATAGGAAAGCAAGGGCATGTTTTTATTTGGTTTGATCCCTTCTCAGAATGTGGGAATTGTAATCTGCATATTATTTTAAAGAAAAGTATGTTTCCATACAGATCCCTGGTGTTTATCCACAAGGGACACGAAGGAGCAGGCAAGGGGATGGGGAGGACGGTGATGGCGTCGCTTTTGGACTCTCCTGCCTGCAGACTCTCAAGGAGCACCTGGTGTGCACCATGTACCTGAGCACCTGGTGTGCACCAAGCACCCGAACACCTAGTGTGCACACGCACCCGAACACCTGGTCTGCACCAAGCACCCGAGCACCTGGTGTGCACCACGTACCCGAGCACCTGGTGTGCACCAAGCACCCGAGCACCTGGTCTGCACCACGCACCTGAGCACCTGGTCTGCACCAAGCACCTGAGCACCTGGTCTGCACCAAGCACCTGAGCAACTGGTCTGCACCATGCACCTGAGCACCTGGTCTGCACTACGCTCCAGAACACCTGGTCTGCACCATGCACCTGAGCACCTGGTGTGCACCACGCACCTGAGCACCTGGTCTGCACCAAGCACCTGAGCACCTGGTGTGCACCACACACCTGAGCACCTGGTCTGCACCAAGCACCTGAGCACCTGGTCTGCACCACGCACCTGAGCACCTGGTGTGCACCATGCACCTGAGCACCTGGTCTGCACCACGCACCTGAGCACCTGGTGTGCACCACGCACCGGAACACCTGGTCTGCACCATGCACCTGAGCACCTGGTGTGCACCACGCACCGGAACACCTGGTCTGCACCACGCACCTGAGCACCTGGTGTGCACCATGCACCGGAACACCTGGTCTGCACCACGCACCTGAGCACCTGGTCTGCACCACGCACCGGAACACCTGGTCTGCACCACGCACCTGAGCACCTGGTCTGCACCACGCACCGGAACACCTGGTCTGCACCATGCACCTGAGCACCTGAACACACTGTACCACATCTTCCAGAGTTTCACTGCTTTCCCAATTCAATGCTTAAATCTCTTTGAGGACAGGCTGTTTCTCCTGCCCAAGCACCACTGCTTCCTTTGCTCTCTGGACACCCTTGAAATCATGATGGCTTGACAATTTACTAACGACCAGAGATGTTCTCCATTATTCCCAACAAACTGTTCTGCAAACCAGTTAACTTGCTTCCTACACTTTGGAGGACTGACTTGGAGAGCAGAGCACGCGCTGCCCTCTGTGTGGTCCCGCACAGGGACCCGCAGGTTGCAGCCCCCACTGTCCCTCAGAGATGCTGCCCCCGGGAGTCATCCTCTGGGGCTTGGGGCTCCTTCTGTCCAGGGAACAGTCCTCTGGCTGCACGAGCAGAGCACAGCAGCTGAGTAAAGAGCCATCAGGGCCCCTGCACTGGATGGTATGGCAAAGGCATGCTGACGGACCCTGGAACAAGCCTGCCATCGGAAGCAGGCATCAGTGTGAAGGCCAAGTGGCAGAGACAGCATTTTATTCCTTCCTGCATCTCCAGGATCTGCAACTGCTGCATGGAGGAAAGACAGAATGGAGGTACCCAGCCATAGGTGAACAGAGGGAACTCAGTGACAGGTGAACGGAGGGGCCCAGGGAGAGATGAACAGAGGGGCCCAGTGATAGGTGAACAGAGGGGCCCGGTGATAGGTGAACACAGGGGCCTGGTGACAGGTGAACGGAGGGGCCCAGTGACAGGTGAACGGAGGGGCCCAGTGACAGGTGAACGGAGGAGCCCAGTGACAGGTGAATACAACCTGGGAATGCTGGAGTCCAGATTCACTCTCTTTGCTCTTGGGTGAAGAGGCAAGAAGGGAAATCTGTTTAACAGGAGCTTTCTGCAGGATGAAAACATTTAGTCTTGCCTTTCTTTTCTAGAGAGCAAAAGCAAGATGACCCCTGCATAAGGGCATACCGTTTTTATTCAGGGATGAAAAATAAAATACTATGCAGTGTTAGAACATGCGCTTTCCCCCTCATCATTAGTTTTGCTTTTATAAAAAATTCCCAACAGAAGCCTTCCGTGGACAAATATAACTTGTATCTGTGGCTCTCTAGTGCCTGATGTTGGCTCCAAACATGGCAGGGTACTTCCGAGAGGTTTCCAGAGCCCTGTCCTGTTTGTTGGGCAGCCCTCTGTCCACCAGGAGTCCTGGTCTTCACCTCCGGGGCCAGGGCGGCACTGCCCAGCGCCCCGGGCCCCATGCCCGGGCTGTGAGTCAAGCAGTGAGCGGAGGTTAGAACACCCGCACACGTGGCTACTGCCTCTTGCTCTTCTCGCACTTGCGGTTCCCTGCTGCGCCGCACGCACACTAGCTTCGGTGTGCGTGCCAAGAGCAGGCATGTGGAAGGCTGGGGCGCAACTGCACGGAGTGCTACAGAGACGACCGTGCCAAGGAGTCCACCAAACACCAGTTGTTATTTCACTTGTTTTCCAAAGAATGGTTTTTTAAAGCAAAATTGAAATTCAAAATTTGAAATCTGGAGGGAATTGACAAAGCCTTTTCTCCTTTCATCTGGAACCCTAGGTCTTGGAGGAGGGCACCTTCGAGGGCAGGTTCTGCCAGTCGAGTTCCTGGACAGACCCCTAGAGCCCCGGATGTGTGTCTCAGCTGAGCTCAGAAACGTCATTCCGCGGGTCTGTCCCCAAGCACCTGGAGATGGGGGTGGTGGGCGGCATCTGCAACAAGGTCAGAGGGACCCACGCCTGGGCCCTCACTGCAGACGAAGACCACTTGGCGGAGAATGTGCTCTGGAAACAACACGTGCGGAAGGTCTGTGAATTTGCCTGTCTCTATTCCGAAATCCTAGTTCCTAGAGAAAGAATGATGCCTTCTCTTTTTTTCTGACATTTCTAATTAACGGCCAATATTCCATTACCACATAAATAGGCTCTGCCTTATGCTTTTAGTAACACTCCTTACGCTGTGAGAGACTGAAGTCTTCATTCCCTGCTTCCAAAAATACCTTATGATCCACATTAAAAAGCCATTTTTGTAGGACACGAAATTGTAAATACTGGAAATTTGGTGTGGTTCCAAATGAGTGTGTTTGTGTGTGTATATATATATATATATATATATATATATAAATATATAATAAGTGTATACACCTCCTTCCCACGTGACCAGACAAAAGTGGAAAAGTGAAAAAGAAAACAGAAAGACAGACTACCGTATATGCAGGCCAAAAGATACATTTGGCAAGCAATCAAATTTTCATGGTCTGTAAGAGACTTTCCAGAACATCATTAATGTATTATTAGTTGTCCATTAAATCAACAGACACCAGATTTCATCTTGGCACAAAGTCCTCTGAAGAACGGAGAGATTTGGTGAATGTCCACGTTCCATACAAAACGACTCTTTTACAGGTGCAGGCCGCCGTTCTGCTTGTGCCCCAGGGAAGGACTGTACCGCTCTTCTCAGGCCCCGATATTCCAGAAGTCAGGCCCTCAGAGTCTGTGGATTTCTCACTGTTACACAGGGACGTGGAGGAACCAGCACTGAAGAACTCCCACGTTGTGGTAACTGAAGATCCCTTGGCGTCCTGCCGGACTGGGATGTGGCCCGAGAGAAGGGCCGAGCACTTCTCATCCTGGGAAGGATCAGCCTGCACCACAGCTTGACGGTGACACAGAAAGGGCACGATTCTGTGTGTAGATACAACTGAGGCAACGGCTGGGTGGGATCCAGTCTTCTTCAGTCATAGAATAACCACATGGTTTATGCCATCCCCATTGTGTAGAGAGGGAAACTGAGGCTCAGAGAGAGAGAAATGCACAGCTGAGGCAGAGGGTCAGGAGAGGAGGCTGGCGGCGAGGCCCAGCCTCCCTGACTCCCGAGTGCCACTCGCATGCCGGCCGCGAAGGGCGCTGCTTTCTTCCTTCTTGTTGAGTCTGCGTTTTTGGAGAGGCATTGGCTCAAGGTCAAGAACCATCCTCACGGTCATGATGGGTAGAGGCCTAGGGAACTCTGAAGGCCGCCGTGTGGGGTATTCTCGCGGGCCCATGCAACTGTGGTTCACACAGCTCTGCGTGACAGAATCGTAACTGTGCAAATTGCGTGTGGGTGGCAGTGAACACGAGACCCCGCAAACAGGGGGCTGCCCATGAGTCTCACTCCCTCGGCCTCAGGGCCGCGGCTCCCGTGTTCACAAGCCAACCCAGCCATCGCTCATGTCCCCCGACATTCAAGCGCTCTCCGCCTTGGGATGGGGGACCCGCCACAGTGTGAGACCCACTCAGACGGAATCAAAGCTCCAACTTACCTTTCCGTAGGATCCTTGTCCTAGAACTTTCAAGAGTTCAAACTGGGAAGGGTCGGCCTTCTCAAAGCCTTCCTTTACATGGTGGCTGATGTCGATTTCCTTGACGGTGCCTTCCTCCTGCAAGAGAGCGGTGGTACACGGTGAGTACACCCAGCAGCAGTTTCCTCTGGATTCACCACACTTCTGTCCTGTACTGAGGTCATGACACGCTGGGCCATGTTATGGATTTTGAGGACCGCAGTGAAGGCAGGGAAAATCTGTTCTCGACCCTCAAGGTCTTTCAGCCGGACTGAGGATTAAATTTACATGAGATGGATTAATAGGAGAAAAGAAAATCAAAGTATTATTCCATGTGCACAGAGGCCCAATAACGAAGCTGAGACCTAGAGAAATGACCAGAGCAGGCAGTTTTTATTCTTTTTTTTTTTTTAATATTTTATTTATTTGAGAGAGAGAGAGAGCACAGACAGGGTGAGGGGAGAAGCAGACTCCCCGCTGAGCAGGGAGCTCGATGCGGGGGCTCGATCCCAGGACCCCGGGATCATGACCTGAGCTGAAGGCAGACGCTTAACCAGCTGAGCCACCCAGGCGCCCCCAGTTTTTACTCTTTATAGACAAAGGGACAACAACAAATCTGCCAGGAATTGGCAAGACAAGGAAAGCTTGACTTTGGGAGCTTCAGTTAATTAGGAATTATAAGAGGATTTGGGGTGGGGCAGTAAACTGGGAAAAAGTAGCAAAGGCTCCTGTCTCTGGGGACACGCTGTCTCTATTTCCTGGTGACGAAGGGTACCCTCCCCGGGGTGGGGTGTGGTACTGTGACACGTGGGACATCACAGAGCTTTATGCCATCATCCTTCTCTGGGCCTATCTCAGGAAGCAGGCCAGGGGAGCTCTCGCTTGCTTCTTTTCCGCATGGGTATTTGTCATTTGGTCTCATCTTAAGGACTCGTCAGGAGCTCTCCACGAAATCCATTCTGTGTCCAACAGTTTGGGCAAAAGTTGGGGTAGGGATGAAGATGGGACCCGTGCGGCAGAATGAACCTCTGAGATCTGTCTCAGTGTCAGTGGGGCTGTGCTGAAAAGGGCCATTGACAGGCCGTGGTTTGTGAAATGCAGATGTGTGACCTCCTCCTTCTTCCTGAAGGATACCTTTGCCACAGCTAATGCAAAGTGCATTCCGTTGGTCTCCCAGAGACCGTCAGAAAAAGCAGTCAGATAAGATTTTTCTGCCAGTCCAGAAGCAAGATTTCCCAGTAGGAAAAAAAAAAAAAGCCCTTGTTCTTTAAATTAAGACATGGACAGAAATCACTACGATTTTTCATCAGAGAACTTCCTGTCCCCACAGATGCATCACTTCACTTATAACAGGGTGAATCCGCCCAATGCCAGCAATCTGAAGTTGGGAAGCTGGAAAAGAGGCATTTTTCCTGACAGTAGAGGCTCACTGTTGCTGAGTGCCTCGCTGTGCTTCTCTGGGACTCCCCTTCCAGCCCCTCCATCCATCTGAGCACTCACCCCTGCTCTACCGTCTTGGCATTTGGCGAGGTGTTGAAAAACAGCAGAATGGGCTGGCTGAAAAGCTCATCTAAAAATAGCACCCAGTAATCACAAGCACATTGTGTTCTGGGCACTCAGGACTTCTCATTGTTTCTTTCATTCCTTAAGAAATTGTTTTGAAGTAGAGATTCAGTCTGAGGCAGGCCCAGAGCTACAAGTGTTAGAGATGGGTTTCCACTCCTGGGGCACAGGGACACCACCCCTTCTACCTGGAGTTAGTCGAAGAGCAGCTATTTTCAAGTGAAATCGTAATAGCAATAATTTACATTACAGGGGTCTCTCTAAAATGTACAGAGATTTCAGTTTCTCAAAAGTTATGAATTGTTCTATTTTATCCCTGCGTAACCAGCATTGGACACCTTTAAAGTAGACCAAGGTCGTATGCGCCGCAAAACCTCACTGCAGGTCAGCAGCCTGTGCAGGAACGTTTCGCTTTTTCTCTTCCCACGGTTAAGACAACACTCCAATTTCCACATCTTTGAGGATTATTTGCCATTTTTGTAGAAACAATGGTTTTTCTAATTGTGAACAGAAACAAATGAAAATAGCCAAAATGGATTCTTTTTGATCAGTTCCTAAGGTTCCTAGGAGCTCGGTTAGGAGAAGACCAATTAGAATGTCATTGATTTGTGATCACTTCTTGAATAAATAAGTAAGGCTCGGGGGCAAAGGTCACCCAATCGGGGATTATATTTAGATTGCAGTCTGGGGTGGAGGTCACAGTTGAAGACATTCCTGCTTTCGGCCTCAGGCCTCCTGGACCTGCAGACCCTGTAGGCTCAGGAGACCGAGCAGCTTCTGGAAGGAACGTCTCCATTTAGCACAGGAAGGGAAAGCGACCACAGGACCCTCAGCTTCATCGTGGTGCCTGGTTTCCCACAAAGACTGTACTCTGCGGGCCTGCAGCCGACTTCCATTTCCCACTCAGAAAACAAGGCGAAAGCCGAAGTTCAAAACACTTCCCCAAGTCCCCACAGACACATAGATGCTATCCTTCCCTGCTGTTGACATGTCAACTGAAGAAAGAGATGGAAGATGATTGGTCACTTAAGTGAGAACAAAGTGCCCCTTTCCTGTTAATGAAGAACTTTCCAGCAATGGGCCCACTGACCACCCTCTCCCTACGGCGCAGCCCACTGGGAGTCCCCCAGAATCCCGATTTCCCTCCTGAAAGAACTTCCATCACGCAGCCGCGGAAATTCGGCACCTGCACTACGAACAAGTCATAATTCCCTGAATCCCGTCTTTCTGTGACTTCGTTTTGGTAAGGGACACATTAACAGTCACAGTGCTGAAGAGAGAGTCAAATTCAACACCGTTGCGGGCGCAGAGTGGGAGAGGGACAGTGTCCACTCAGATGGCCGAGGAGCCCGGGGACAACGGGGGCGTGCACTCTTAGCTTGGCCTCCGATCACACTTCACAGCACATGTGTGTTTCATGACGATTCCAGATCATTCCTCCTCTTCAGCCGCTCTTTGCGGAGAGCCAGAGGCCCACAGTGGCGGTAAGTGAGGTCACTCAACCCGCTGGGACACTGTCAGGTGGCATTCTTACAGTGGGAGCCCGCCATGCCCAGTCCCTGGGCATTCCCACCGCATCCCCCTCCTGGAGCGCCAGCCGGTGAAGCTGACTTCTCCTCCCTGTCCACCGTATACCCCCTTCCATTTCAGAAGTTTACCTTCTTAACGTTTCACATCAAAGGTTTACAAACAAATCTCTCAGAACATTTCAAGTGTTGTGTATTCTTGCTGTCCAAGAATTTAGGGCAAACGTACCCAAAGCACATAGCTAGTTTCACCCCCGAGAATGGCATCAGAAACCTCAGAACTCTCTTCCCTGATCACATTGCAGTGCGGTTCATTTCCCACGTGAAATCACTAAGGTCTTTAAGAGAAAAGAGTCTCAGCTATATCCCTGAGGAACCAAGAGTGTCACATTTTAGATTTCAGAGTTTTGCATTTGTAGTGACATTTTGGCTTGAATTTGCCTGAGGCTACTTTGTTTTTCTCTTTCCCAGAACTTAAAAGAAAGACGGGAGGGGAGGGGAGGGGAGGGGAGAGGAGGGGAGGGGAGGGGAGGTTGATCTGGAGCTGACCACAGGGGCCCGTGTGCACAGATGCAGGCAGGGAGGGGAACATGTCCAGGCATGTCTGCTCTTGTTTCCGGATGGAACGTCCTATTTTCTGGATGATCATTGCCCTAAAGGGCAACTAGAATTATAATATCACCCATGTCTCATTTTGAAATAAATGCCTTTTCTTTGTTACCAGGCAGGCCATTTTATCTAGAACTCTGTGGATTTTAATGTTATTCCTTTCAGAAAATAAACTCTGTCCCTAAATGCTCTACATATAGCACTAAACATTTGGTTTCTAGTGTGATTCTGGTGAATGGGTTTTTTTTTTTTTTTTAATAACTTGAGAAATTTGGTGGGGAGAAAGTGGTACCTTGCTTCACAAGCAAGAGGATTTCAAAAATGTTCTAATGAGAGAGATAAAAGCTAGAGAAATAAATTGTTTAAATGACATCAATATGTGACAAGATAATTCGTGACAATGAATTTTTTAAGTCCCCGCTGATTCGTGTTTGAACTTCTGACAGATCACAGAGCTTCGTGGGCAGGTACCCAGCAGTGGTCGTGAAAGGCTGGTGGCTGCAGGCAGTGATGAAAGGGGGTGGGGGGGGGCACCTCACCGCTGTCCCCTCCTCCCTGCACTGAGGTCACTTTCTTAGAATGTCCTCCATCCCGAAACATCTGCTATTCATGTCATTTTTGAAGGGAGAATATTTGTGAAAAGCACGTGCAAATCAAAAGTTGTGAACTATTAATGATAAAGACATAGAAAATAAAAATTGGGCAAGTGTTAGCTTCACCTCCAGAACAGGGGGAGAGTTCATTCTAGAAATCACCAATTCTCAGGTGGGATATCAATTCCCATGAAGGGTACAGAGTGGATGATTAAACAGGTGCTTTATAAAAGTGTAGAAAAGAACAAGGAAAGGACCTAGCCTCTGAGTCTCTGGGAGCAAGACCTTCAGAACCACTGGGGGAGCTAGGAGCTAGTTAAATGTACGGATGGGGGGGGGGCGGGGCAAGGCCTGGAATCTGTGAAGGACAGGGTCCTAGCTCGGAACAGAACTGGGTTTCCCTTAGCTTCCCTGCTCACCAGCACTCCTTCCCCTCCTGCGCTTCCCACCAGCTTATGTGGCTGCTCTATCTACTCAGTGAAAATAAAAATTTCATTGTCCCCCCCACCCCCAAGTCCACCAGGTGCAGACGCAACTCTGAAAGGATTTTTCAAACTCAGGGTCTCTGGTACCTCCGCTACCCACTGGCATCCGGCTCCCCCCACCTCACACCAAGTCATGACCGATCTAACCCCAGGGGTCAGATCCCCGAGCTACCCGCCCCTCTCTTCCTCGGGACATTTTCCTCGCTGGCATCCAGGATGTCCTGCTCCCTGGGACCCTCCTACCTCCCCATTCTCTGTCTCCTTTCCTCCTTCCTTATCTCTCTGCCTCCCAGCATCCTGCCACGCCCGCCTCAGTCCCTGGC